CGGATCTCTGTGAGTTCGAGGGCGGGCTGGACCGATAGCCTCCAAAACAATACAGAGAAACCCTGTCTTGTAAAAACCAAAAAAAAAAAAAAAAAGAAAAGAAAAAACCTGACAATATTCCAGCATATGTCTCCAGCAAATTGGAACAGTTTTTCAAATATTATAACATAAAACATGTAACTGGTATACCCCACAATCCTACAGGACAAGCAGTGGTTGAGAGATCTAACCACACCTTAAAAGAAATGCTTCATAAACAGCTAGGGGGAACAAAGACCCCCAAATACAGATTGCATAATGCTTTACTAAGGTTGAAATTTCTTAATGCTAATGAAAAAGGACAAACAGCTGCAGAAAGACACTCGACTACAGAAAAAAAAAGACTTCTGAACTAAACCAACCAGTGTATTTCAAGGATGTTATAACCTCAGTTTGGAAAACAGGATATGTGTTATGTTAGGGAAGGGGTTTTGCCTTTCTTTCCACTGGAGAAAAAAAACGTTGGATTCCATCATAATTAGTCAAGATTCGATCTGAACAGAAGAAACCTCAGGAGGAGGAAAGATGACAGCTCATCCACAAGGCCATATTCTACTTCATAAAAGGAGAGAGAAGTATTTGTTTTTGCCTTCACAGGAAAACTCAGCTCCAAACAGCGAAAAATACTGGATTTATGGATATCTGAAGAAGAATGGATAGCTACCCTGAGGACCATCAAACAATAATGCACTGTGTGGTATCAAAGTCTAAATATCTCTATCTTGTTCTTATAATATCCTTGCTTCTTAATATTGTTTAGTCCCAATTCATTTAAGTGAAGCTGGATTTGGAGTTGCATTGGCTCTTGTCTTCTGAATCCAAGCATGTTGTTAAAATAAAATTCAGAATGTCCGTATTATATCAAAGAGCCATTGATATAAGACAGAAGAAAACAAAACTAGGGACTGTCATCTGTTTATACTCGGTTCCATTTCTGAATCTTCATGTTTACTATCTTCCTTATATATGCATACATATAAAAGTTGAACATTTCTCAGTTAACATGAAATTAATGTTTAAGTTTCCTAGAGAATGAGGAATTTCCTAACAGCAATCCCCACTTCATCGACTCCACCTGATCTGACTGGATGCATCTGAACTGGCCCCACATCATTGACTCCATCTGACCAGTACCATCCTGAAACTGGTTTGGAACTGCATCACTTGACACAACTCCGGAGCAATGAACTGATAGAGTGTACCTTTACAATCAGGCCAGAGCTTCAGTCAAGACCTTCAATCAAGCATCTCCTGCCAAACAGAGACTATTTAATCTATTTAAGACTGTAGTTACAATAACATTTTCTTCCCACAGGTTCCCATGAGATTGTTATCATCCCATTTTAACAGGAAGCAATTTTGAGAATACTGTGCCCCCTTTCCCTACTGTTGATATTACAGGATAGTTTGTACCTGTTAGTGTTAGTTTTCAATTATTATAGGGTTGGGATTGGAAGGAGGTGTTCAGACTTGGGCATCTCTTTCAAATAAGCTTAGGTTTAGATGGGATAGATATGCTTAGGCTAGGATATGGGTAGAGTATAATTTGTTTATCATCTTCTATGTATATATGCTTTATTTATGTTTGAGACATTTTGTTTATTGACATAATTTAGTTTTGTTTTAAGTCTAAATCTTTTCTTTAGACTAAAAGGGGAATTGTAGGGAGTGATTTTACGTATCTGTAAGCACTGACCACTCCCGTGTGGGTGTGTTCACGGGTACCTAGAATGTATGGTGGTAAATAGAGAGGGGGAGGGGACTTTTTCTCTTTGGGTTTCAGTTTCGACCTGGAGAGCAGCGTGTGAACCTTTGGTTCTAGGCTTTCTTAGCTTTTCACGTAACTGGTTTCTCTTTCAATAAGTATCATAGGACATCCCTAAATTTGTGTAGTGTAATATTTCTGCTTCAGGGGAGAAAGGGAGATAAGGGGGGAGAAAGACAAGAGCTGAGGGAGAAAGAAGAGAGAGAGAATATCCTAATACAAAATAGTCAGGTGAGGAGAATAGTCAGGTAGAGTAGGAAGGAACCTAAGCTGAAGAAGACAATGGAGGCAGATTTGGGAGTCCACGGCAAAGGCAGTTTGAAGCCTGGCAGAATGAAGATCCACAGTCTCTGGTATATGAGGTGTGGGTGAGATACTGCCTTTCTCCACAGGGATACCTGGCTGAGGACATCTGGTTCATAGATACACCTGGGCAAATCAGAAGTCTGCCAGAGTTCTTCCCCGCCCACAGGTGTTCAGAACTGGGTTTTCCCTCCTGAGGGTGGGTCCTGCTGTGTACCCGAGGTCTGGGCTGTGCCTAAGGACTTGCTGCTCAGAAATTTAACTGTCTAGGGCCCTGTCATGGACCTCAGAGGTGAGCTGAGGGGTGAGGAAGGGGGCTGTGGGTACCCTCAATTGGTTGCTTACCACCTGGTTGGGGCCTTATTGCTACTGGGGCCAGAGGCTCAGAGGTGGCAGTGCCAGGCTTACTGGGATGGCAGGAGTCCTGAGGGTCCCTGGATCTTTATGTTTGTGTATATGTACTGGTGAGGGGTGGTTAAGTGACCCAGAGGTCTGGGTCATAGTGGAGAGTCCAGATATGACTTGGCAGACATTGACTGCAAGTGACCTGTCTATATCTTTATGAGGCATCCTCCACCTTCCCTGGCATCCCAGGACAGGGGGGTGTCAGTGGCCATGAAGCTGGCTTTCCAGGAGCTCAGAGTTGTCCAGGCTGCCTACGGGGAGAAGGGAAGGAAGGAGGCTAAGGGGAAGCATCTCCAGATGGCTGAGTGAGCAGTAACCCTTCAGGGCTGGAGGTGGCTTGGAGAGGAGGTACCATAGGAGCCAGGGTCATATTGATAGAATGAATATGCTTGGTGTTTCACAAAGAAACACATTGACAAAGCAAAATTAATCCAGGAGGGGACTTCCTTTTGGCAAAAGTGTGTGCTGCTTGTGATCAAGGAAGTAGGAGCACAAAGTCCACTTAAATTTTTTTTCTAAGCACAACTGATGACTGTCTTACCTCATTGGTTGGAGCTGGACTTTATAATCTGGTGCTGTTGATTAATACTTATCATCACAAAGGGTAAGGGTGTGGTAGAGTCAACAGAGTTCTATACCAGAAGATACTGACCACCTCAGATAGAAAAAACAAAAAGAAACTCACTTCTCATATTCCCTCTTTTCTCCCTGTACTAAATTACATATAAGAAAATTATGATGGTATTTTTCCTTTTAAAAATTGATTTCTGTGTGTGATGTATACTTGTGGGCATGTGTGTGTGGTGATCACAGAACAACTCTGTGGAGATGCTTCTCTTCTACCTCCTGGGTTCTGGAGCTCAGACTCAGGTTATCAAGCTTATGAAGAAAGTCTGTCCCTACTAAGCATCTTACTGGACAATCTTAACTGAAAAGCTCAGGTGACTTTCTTTAAGCTTACATGAATTTTAAATATTGGAAGTTTTAAATACATTAGCATTGCCAGTTTTTTGTAATGTGTACTGAAATTCACACAGTAGAAAAAGCAGTAGACTCACGCCTTTGAGTCATAGTATAAGCCTGGGGACCGAAATAAATAATTCTGTGCTAAAAGCACAGGGGCATGGGTATATAGATTAGACAGAGATGCTTTCAGCATGATTAGAAGCACTTTTAAGTCTACACTAAAAGACAGCCAAAGGAGATTTAAAGTTTTGAGCTTATGATTATGATAAAAGCAGTCTATACTTTACCAAGATTAGATTAATAGCTTATCAGAACTCCACTGATTAATGTTAAAATTCTGAACATTTGAAGTCTTAATATAACATTAGAGTGAGAAGGAAAGAAATCTGAATTATTTTTCATTTTTACACACTTTACGTCTCTTTATTAGACCCCCATAGCTTACTTAAGCTTTTACATCTTCAAACCTTTACATAGTGTATTTACACACATCAAATCATTTCCTTAAAGGCTCACAATGTACATAAACTTCAAACATTTTTCTCCTATCCAGTCATTTGCCATGAGACACAGGTAGGTGGTTGATTACTGAGAGAAGTCATTGTAAAGCAATTCCTTTAAGTAAAGGAATAGTAAAAAGTTACACTGAAACCTGTTTTATGAGTTTATCACTTTGAGTGTGACATCTGTCAGCAGGTAAACTGTGTCTTTCTCAGCTGGAGACCTAGTAGCTCTAAAAGAAAGTGAGACCTGGTTTTACATGTGAAATGAACAGACAAGGCAGCTGCAACCCTGGGGAGAGAGTTGTTTGCTTTTGCTTGCTGCTGACAAACTAACAAAGCTACAGTTAACCCTCAACACAACCAGAGATCTAAGAATGATAAATTGTAGCAGGATGTATAATCCAAATGGATTATGTATCAATTAAAATGACTGAAATTTACCTCTGCCTGACTTACCCTGATGGAATCTGTATTGGCTCAGGAAAGCCTAAGCCTCAGTTCTCAGCACAGAAGAGATTTATTTGCCACTGAGGGACAAATAGCAGGGAAGAAGAGACAAAGGTGGGAGATAGAGAAGGAAGAAGGGGAAAAGGACAAGGGAGAGAGGTAAGGGATATTTATCCCAGATGGATAGAGAGGAGGCAGATGTGACTCATAGAGAAGGATTGGGTGTTTAATTTTAATTTGGACACGTTAATTGGCTGAGCCAAAAGGGGGCTTTTGATTGCTGGACTAAAATACTTCTATAGCCATACCTTGGTATTCAGTCTCAGAAACAGGAAGTGGCCAAATAATAGACTAGACCTTTATGGAGAGCTTTAGGAATGTAATCTAATGGATTTTATCAAGGCAAAGGGAATGGGGGGAGAAGGACAAGGCCTGCTTGAGCCATGTTTGCCATGTTTAGGCTGACTAGATTCCCTTCATTCCCTCCTATCTGTATTATTATTGGGTCTCTGGGTGTTGGGTAAGAGGATATCATTCTCTCTGACTGCTTCCTGCTGACAATTGTGCATTGTTGTTAGGGAACACAAGGGAGCTAGGTTGTTGGTCTAGGCTGGAAGAGCAGCTGTGTCAACGTCCTGATTATGCGGGCCCATCTATTGCTAGGGAAGTGTAGTCTGTGTGGCTGCACCAGGGATCTAGATTTAGAGGAAACAGCTGGGGCCGGCACTGGAGTTTCTGGAGCAGTCTGGAGTTGATCTGAAGTCTTTTGGGACAGATGAACTAGGAACAGAGGTAAAGTTAAGGGTTTAGAAAAATTTTATTTTAAATGTACATTTGAAACTTTTAGGTTCATGGGCCTTGTAGTGGGATAAGGAGTCTCAAGACCAGGGAAAAAAGGAGGAGAGGACTAAGGGACTGGGAGAGATCTCAAAATTAGGAATAAGCAGTAGGCAGGAAAACTGGCCGTTGGTTTACAGGAGCACTTATCTGGTGTCTGAGGATTCTTGAGAGGAGCAGGAAATTTTAGATTGACTATGGGATGTTAATTGGGGAACAACTGTTATCTGAAAGTGGGGTCAGGCTCTGACGGGAGAGTATACTTTGAGAAAACTTTGTGTATCAGAATAGTCTTTTGGGGGGTGTTTATGCGGGCTCTGAAATGGAAATATTTTAGGAATATAGATGATGGCGGAGGCGTTGACAAACAGTGAGAGGGATGGTCTATAACAGGGTTTGAGGGGTTTGTGTGGAATGTTGAGAGAATTTGGCTTTGGTTTCCAAAGGGGGACTTGGATTGTTAAGGAGAAGGAGTGCCTGGCCAAGGGACAAGCAGTCAGGAGTGGGGCTGGTGTTGTTAAAATATCTAAGGTTACCAGTAACGAGACACAAACCATGAATGAATGGTCCCACGTGAAGTTTTATTGGTAGACAGGAAAGGAAAGGGGGGATGAGAGATAACCAACCTGTGCAGAGCTGAGAGAGAGAGAGAGAGAGAGAGAGAGAGAGAGAGAGAGAGAGAGAGAGAGAGAGAGAGAGAGCAGAAGACGAGAGAGCTTAAGTGGGCAAGGATCTGTCCTTTAAAGGGGTCCTTTGCACCTGTGTACCTGTGTGCAGACTGGTTCTCATGGAACTCTGGGCTGGCCAGAATGCTGACTGAGTGAATCCTACCAGGTAGCAGGGCAGGCCAGAGTAATGCCTGAACCTTTCATTCCCACCTTTATTTATTATTAAAAAGAGGTGGGGGTGTTAGACGTGGCAGGCTAGGGAATAAGGACATTGAGTTCTTAAGACTGCTTCCTGCTGACCTGGGTGACATTGACCATCTTTGGGGAAACTTGAGAAAGTTCAGGTATTGTCACATCCGGGGTAGCTAGTTGCTCCATCGCAGTGGAGTGTGGAACTGTCTGGTGCCTCTGTAGATCTCTTTGGATGTTAGCAGAGTGGAGGGTGAGGTTAAGTCTAAAATTTTTTTTCTTAGGTCCTGGTATTTGAGGGGAAGATTGTAAGATGAGGGAGGGGTTCCCTAGGGGTCCCAGGATGAGGGAAGGGAATCCTGGGACCAGGGAGAGGCTGAATAATATCTGGAGTGAATCTGACCTGTTTGGATGGGTCTAATTTGGCCTCCTGGAACTTACAAGAATCCTTTAAGTTTGTGAAAACATTAAGTATTAGCATAGTTAAGTTAGAAGTGACTTGGCAGAAAGCATTAACATTTTTAAAACTGACAGATATTTTTAGCACAATGAAAAGCACCTTAATTTTGAGCTTATAGTTTTGATCGTATAGTGTCATAGATGGTTTTTAGCACAATAAAAAGTACCTTAATCTTGACCTTGCAGTTATGATCATATATTGGTATAGTGGTTTAGTACTCTGTTGGAGTTAGATAGTAGCTTATCAGAACTTTATTAATATTAAAACTATGAACAGTAGCATCATGAAAGAAAATTATTCTTTTTAATGTCTTAATTCACTTTATTATATTACCATCTTATGTAGATAAACCTTAGAATACCTGTTTCTGAAATCTGTTTTATGACAGAGCTTTGTCATGTCTGTTATTTTTAAGCTGGCAAAGCTACCAGTTGTCAAAAGCATCAGAGTTCTTGAGAAGGACACAATACTACCTGATAAGGGAGAATGAGAGACTTACTAGCTGACTGCATGGACAGCCATCCCCAAGGTCCTCCACAGTTGTTGAAGTCAGAGACTACGAGGACACCTGCCTTCTGCTGATAGTGTGAGACCCATGGATTGGAGACTTTTTAGGAAGGCTTTCTTACCATTGACCCGAGCAACGTGGAGAAAGTTGATTCCAGTGTCCTCTTGTTCACGGCCTGAAGAGTCCTTTTCAGCAGTTGAGGTGAAGGGCAGGGCTGTTTAGTGGCCAGTGTTGCCACTTTGTGGGTGGAGTTTCTTCAGTGTCCACCAGTCTTTCTGGAGGAAATGGGGTGGCGCCAGCAGATGGCCCATCTCTCTGTTGTAAAAAGCTTTTTAATAAAACATTTAAATGCCACGTTCTCTCGATCTCTGAGTATTTGAGGGCTGTCTGTCTGTTTAGTATGTCTCAGTAGACAAAATTTATCTTTAGTGACTTGCCTTAAGTGCATAGGTGACTAGGGAAAAATGTCCTTTTGTAATAGTTTTACCTTTGTAACCAGCTTACAGGAAGGATTTGGTGCTATAAATATTTTGTTAATTTGAAATAGACCCTTATAACTTTAAATGTTTACTATTATTTAAAAATGTAACAATTTAGAAATATTTGATACTTAGTATAGTTGAATTTAAATTGTATATGAAGTTACCTTACATTTTTAAAATGGTGGTTACATATACACCTGCCTATTTAAAGAGACAGAGTTAGTGATGGGGAGGAAGATCCACAGTAGATAGAACAGGGGACCCTGGGAAGGCACAGTATTCCATAAACAAGCCATGCACAACAAGTGGCCGGGGTGGATGGCCTGGTCAAGGTCCACGTCCCTTTCTCACTATCAGAACTTTCTCAGATACAACAGAGACTGGGTTCCTATACTGCTAAGTCCACTGCTTTCATAAAGGAGTTTCAGTATATTGCTCAATCCTATAACCTTACTTTTCATGATATATTCATGAATGTAACCAATAAATTACTACCTGAGGAATGGAGTCGAGTTTGGGAGCAGGCTAGGGCATATGCAGATGAAGTACACCAAACCAATGCGGCTCACCCTACTGGGACAGAGGCCATTCCAGATCAAGAGCCCCAGTGGGACTATAACACTCTAAGTGGAACTTTGGCTAGAGATCAGTTTACGACCTGCCTTATGGCTGGTCTACATAGGGCTGCCCTAAAACCAGTTAACTATGAAAAGCTTCAGAACAAAATGGGGAATCCCTCTCAGTTCCTAAACCACCTTACACAGGCCTTCTTACAGTACACCAATGTAGACCCAGAGGGGACAGAGGGAAGACAGCTCCTTATGACATACTTTTTTTCTCAGAGCTACCCTGACATTAGGGCTAAACTTAAAACTCTAGAGCAGGGGCTCCTAACACCACAGGCAGAAACTGGAACATTGGCAACTGGGGTACCTGCAGTAGAGGGACTGCTACTAAAGGAGGACATTGAAGAGACACACAAAGAGCAGTGGGAGGCCTTGAAGGAAGGGTTAGTGAAGTTGAGGAGAGAGTTTGTTGGATGACCTTGACCTGAGTGAGGGTTTGGCCATGGGAGGGAGGCAGAGGAGAGGGACAGGGAGAGAGAGGGAAGGGAGAAGGAGAGGGAGAGGGAAGGGAGAGAGAGATGGAGAGGGAAGGAAGGAGGCAGGTAGGGAGGGAGAGAGAAGGGGGGTGGCTTGTGTTTGATGTCTGGATAGGTAATGAATTTAGGGCAATCCAATTGGTAGTGGATGTTTGGCAATTATTTTGGCAGAGGATAAGTAGAAGTGTGAGAAAAGAGATGAGAATTGTGGGGAACAGTGATCTTGAGAGAACAGGCACTGGAGGGTGAGAATAAACATGCAAAGTGGTGAGTTAGGAGACTATCTGGTGCTGAAGGAGGTTTAGGTGTGCTGTTAATCTGGGTTATGTAGTAGGGTAGTCTGGGGGGAAGTCATATAAGTGTAGTGAGTCATTAAAGTTGGGTGAAACGACAGCTTGACAGGTTGTCATATCAGCACAATTATTGTCTTGACTGACAATTGAAGAATGCAGCCTTCCTGCCAGCCTGGTTCCAGAGCTGAATCAGTCCCAAATGAACACACAGGAGGCTATATTAATTATGAAGCTGTTGGCCGTTTGCTTGGTTTCTTACTGGCTGTCTCTGACTTAAGTATTTACCCATAATTGTTAATCTAAGTATTTCTCTTACCAGAGAAAGGGTCCGGACCTCTTACTTCTATGGCAGCTACATGATGACTCCCTGTGTTTCTCCTTCCCAGAATCCTCCTTGACTCCTAGTCCCACCTATCTTGCTTCCCTATTGGCCAACAGTGCTTTATTCAACAACCAATAAGAGACAGATTTCAGAATGACATTTCCCATTGGACAATGGAGATGTCAATCTTATATATCCATCTGACATGAGGGAGCTGTTATCCATTTAAAAAGTGTAGAAAGAAGTAGCTAGAGGATCCTCATATATTAGAGGGATGGATACAAGGTCTTTGAGAATTGTGGAACAGAAGTGTAGAGCATCTGGGGAATGTTGAGGCAAAGAAATGAGTGTGGAGGGATTGAGGGCAGCACAGGTTAGGAATGTGAATGATGTGTTTTTAATAAGAGAAATTTGGAGAGATAAAATTGGAAATAGTGAAAGGAATGGTGGAGTCCTTTTTAAGTTAGGAGTTGAGGGAGAGTCTGGTGGGAATAGATTGTGGCAGGGGATCCCAGAGGTTCTGTCTTTACCTTCAGCTCTGTCACCTAGAGGAAGGGATTCCAGTACTCTGAGCACACCAGAGTTATTTGTTAGATTTAGAGGTGAGCAGAGAGGTGAGAGTGCATAGACAAAGAGATCATCCATGGATGGTTTTATACAGAATTTTGGAGAGAGGTAGGCTACAGGGACAACTGTCAATCTTAGGGAGTGTTACGTGTTTTATAAGTGTAAGGATGGAAGGGTTTGTTTATACCTGGGAGAAGATGGGCTGGGGTAGAAAGAATGTTTTAAGTTTAAGAATTTGTTTTTTTCCTGTGGAAGGGAGGAATGAGGATATGAGATGGTCCAGAAGTAGCTTGGTATAGGGAATGTCTCAGGAGTGAGTTTTTAGGGATCCATGAGTACAAGGGCAGAGATAAGTAGTGGAGAT